TCGCCGCCCCCGCCTCAGGGCCGAGTGAAAGTGCCCGTCGCGCCGGGTCGCCCCCTGCGCCACCTCCTCGCCCCCGGTGGCGGGTGCCGTTCTCGATCGAAGCACTCCCCCCAGCTCCATGAATGGAAATCGGCTCCGCAGGTGAGTGGGTCTGAGCCGCTGGGCCGGGTAGGTGGGCATGTCACCCAGCTGCTGTCCCCTGCGCGCCCTCGCGCCCTCCAGCCCGGCCCAGGTGCGCGAGGGGAGGGTCAGGCGGGCATCGTCCGGGTTCCCGCCCCCCACCCGGCTCCTCCGGTGCCTTCCCCGCAGCCCAGCCGCAGTTCCCCGGGGACCGCGGAGTGGGGAAGCCGCTCCGAGAGTTTCAGCGTCGGGTTATAACTAGGCGGTGTCACTCTTCCGGAGTACTCTTTATCTAGACCCTAGAAGGGCTTGCCATTGCTTTTGTTATTGTCGTTGGAAATGTAACGGTGTGCGTGTCCTTTCACCGGCTTGTGTGCCTCGTAGAGGCCGGGCAACTCCCTCACCTACCTCTGAAGGCAGTTGTGAAGATACACCGAGATAACGGATAACTTCAAATTAAGTTTGAAGTAGGTGTTGGTGCAACGTCACATTTAAGGTGAATTCTTCCACTCCCCACCCCGAGTTTTTTTTTGGATTTTTGTGTGTGGCAGCATGGTCTATAGTTTCTGAGGAGCTTGGCTATGTCATGTCAGCCTGGATCGGTGCTTATAGGAGGATGTGGATCTTAACATTGTTGACAGTGTTTTTTCATTCCCTGTATCCTGGAAATTTGGAATTTAGGAAAACTGCTTTCTCTCCTGGGGGTTAAACGGCAGTCCTGAAGAAAAATTGCAACATGGGCAGTACTTGTCCTTAAAAAAGAAAAAAAGCATTCTTTATGGTTCTAAAGTAATTAATTCAGGGACGTAAAGTAGATGTTGCATGACAGTTTGCTTACCAAATGATCATGCTTGGTATGTTAAGTTGGAAAGTATGCTTCATCCAGACGATCACAAATTTATAAACTAATTTTCAAAACACTTGAGAGAGTGTCTTATTACTAATGGTATTACAAGATCCTGAATCTTGGCCGGGCATGGTGGCTCACGCCTGTAATCCTAGCACTTTGGGAGGCGGAGGTAAGAGGATTGCCTGAGTCCAGGTGTTGGCGACCAGCCTAGGCAACTTGGCAAGACCTCTTTCTACAGGAAACCAAAAAATTAGCTGAGCGTGGTGGCACGCGCCTGTGGTTCCAGCTACTTGGAAGGCTGAGGGAGAAGGATCGCCTGAACCCAGCAGGTCAAGGCTGCAGTGGCTATGAGTGTGTTGCTGCACTCCAGCCTGGGCGACAGTGAGCTTCCAACTCAAACAAAACATCAAAACAAATCAAAAAGTTCTCTCTTTTTGTCAATTTGAGAGGTACCTGGATACAATACAAGAAAAGCCTATGTAAAATAAACCAGTGATGGAATAAAAGTAAAGAACTTTGTTAAATAGGTTAAGGAGTATAGTTGTCAAGTGGATGCAAAAAAGCATTTTTCTTTTTCATGCTCCATTTTGCCTTTTTCATATCTTCTTAAAAACAGTTTGTCTAGATTGTGAAGTGTTTGGGGCTATTGTTTGCTTATTGTTGACTTGTGTATTTCTGAAACCAAGTCCTACTTTGTCTTTAAATTTTCCACCATACTATTTGTCCTTACAGTACTAGGGAATGTGAAGATTTGGGGCTGTAAGTGATTTATTTGTTTGTTTGAGTTGGAGTCTCACTCTGTCGCCCAGGCTGGAGTGCAGTGGCTCGCTCACAGCCACTGCAGCCTTGACCTGCTGGGCTCAGGCGTCTTTGCGCCTCAGCCTTCCAAGTAGCTGGAACCACAGGCATGCGTCATCACTCCTGGCTGATTTTTAAGTTTACTTATTGTAGAGACGAGGATCACCATATTGCTCAGGCAGTCCTCTTGCCTACGCCTCCCAAAGTACTGGTATTACAGACATGAACCACCGTGCCCAGCTGGCTGTAGGTGATTTCTACATAATTGTTCTCTTGTCAAGCCTGGAAAAATTGTGAAAGTTTGACCCTTTATTAATCATCCTAAAACTTTTCAAGATATTTCCAAAAAAATTTTAAAAGTTATTTTCTTTTTCTTCTTTGAATTTTTCCATATCAAATTATGCCCAGAAATATGGGCAATATCTTAGAAAATACTTGTGACATCAAGTCACCTAGTCTGCTGGTACAACTGGCCAAGACGGGGCTTAGAAAATAACTTTTACCTCTTCTTTTTGTACTGTTGCTGAAATAGATACCTGTGTAGCTGTCTTCACATCTGGAAAAGTATAGTCAGATTATCAGCCTTATCCTTGGCCATCTTAAAGTGTAGTTTATTCTCCAGCACAGTTTATATGTGAGTGACTGTAGTCTAACAATGAAGATAAACTATAATTTTCATTCTTCCTGAGACTTATATATAATTGTTATACTTAATGTGAAATTTTGAATGTGTAATTGGGGAAAATGTGCAAATAGATTTTAAATCCAGAATTTGACCTATATATCTAGGTTTTAAAATTTTAGATGTAAATATTCTCTAATAGTGTATCATTATCAAATCTTGGTTCTCTAATTCTGTTGTTTTTCTTTTTTGTGGAAATTCTCAGGAATCATTTTATGTTGGGATATTTTAAATTCTAGTGTTCCATGGGGACATGTTAAATTTATTTACATTAGAGGACTTCAAATACAAATGCCATATAATTGTTTCTTGGTGAATCATTCCTCATTAAAAGTTAAAGTTAATATTTGTCTATTCTTCCCTTTCACATGAAATATTTTAAATTATTTTTAGGTGTATCCTGTACAGTCTACTGATTAAGTACCATCTGAACTTTGATGTAACCATAAAAGCAGGCATACTTCGTTTTTTTTTTTGAGTCGGAGTCTCACTCTGTCACCCAGGCTACAGTGCAGTGGCATGCTCACAGCCACTGCAGCCTCAACTTGCTGGGTTCAGGCAGTCCTTCTGCCTCAGCCTTCTAAGTAGCTGGAACTACAGGCATGTGCTACCACGCCCGGCTAATTTTATGATTTATTGTAGAGACAGGGTCTCACCATGTTGCTCAGACTAATCTCGAACCCCTGAGCTCAGGTAATCCTCTCACCTTGGCCTCCCAAAGTGTTGGGATTACAGGTGTGAGCCACTGTGCTCAGCAATAATTAGTTTTTAAATAATAATGAGCAGTTTGACATCTATTCCTGTGACTCTTTAGTTAGAGGAACTTCTGATGAAGCTCTTTTTTTTTTTATGGTCTCATTAATGCTAAGTATAGGTTATGTTTTAGTTCCAAATAAAGTGGGAGTAGGTTCAACAGAAATGTTCGTTGAGACACTACTCCTGAGTACATATTTTTTAGGACCACACTCTTCTAGTCTGTATTGTTAGGAAAGTTAGACTACTATTTAGTACAGGAGGAATTGTGTTTAGTAATGGAAGGAAAACATTTACTTTTACTTTAAATTAATGACACACAAATTGATTTGACATATTTGGTAGAAGTTGGTGTTTTTTTTTTTTGTTTGTTTGTTTTGAGTTGGAGTTTCTTGTAGCCCAGACTGGAGTGCAGTGGCATGCTCACAGCCACCACAGCCTCAACCTGCTGGGCTTAGGCGATCCTTCCGCCTCAGTCTTCCAAGTAGCTGGAACTACAAATGCAGGCCACCACACCTGGCTAGTTTTTGTGACTTATTGTGGAGACAAGGTCTCATCACGTTGCCCAGGCTGGTCTAGAACCCCTGGGCTCAGGCAGTCCTCTCACCTGGATGGTAGAAGTTTTACACATTCTTGCAAAAGTGAGTAGACTGCTTCTTTCTTAGTTACATTCTTAAATTCATGTCTGAATATAGTTGTTTTAGAGCTCTGTGTTTATTTGATAATAAAAATCAAGAAAAGTAGTTTGGGACCAACTTCCAAACGAATAAAAGTTGCATGTATAGAAGCTAGAACTTAATCAAGATTGAGATTTGAATGAGTTGGAAAAAATTTGTGGATTAAAAATACCTACTAAAATGTACAATGCCTTACCTTCCCAGTTTAGTTTTTAAAACATCTGTCTTTAATCACTTTGGGAAATGTTTTTATTGTTATATAAATTTTATCACTTATTTTTTGTCTTGAGGGAAAAAAATGTCAAATTATTTCTCTGTTTGATGGACACTCATTTTTATACTGGGTTATCACTTAAATTTTAGCTTGTTCTACTCTGGAGTGGCCTGTATGACTTTTTTTTTTTTTTTTTTTTTTTTTTTTTTTAAGTATTTACTGCTCCTAGCTGGCAATGGAACTTAAAAATCATGCAAGATTATTTTGATTTTTGTATTAGAATTTAATTTATCTGTCTGTGATGGGACTCTCTGGAGGAAAACTGAAAAGGAGACATGAAACACCTTTTTTTCCTAAACAAAGACTTAAACGTAAAGGGAGAAAAGAACGTATATGTAAACTTCAAATGTAATTCAGTTAACATGATGAAGACATTTAAAAAATTATCCATGATTCTGTCACCCTGTTATAACCACTTTTTACATTTTTAAACCAAATTCCAAACTAATCTATCTTTTTTTTATTAAGAAATTAAGTTATTTAGGAAAGCACTTACTTAGAATGAATGAAAAGATAGCTAGATGCTACTTCATTTTGTTCTTTTGGAGAATTTCATGTAATATGTTGATAATTTAGAATTGATTTATATTAGTTTATATTTTCAATGGAAACTTTGGTTCTATAAGCCTGACTTGATAGTGTGCAAAGAGGCCTGGGGCCCTGAAAAGGGGACATTTCCTGGAAGAACTCTCTGTTGTATATGGAAAAACCCAAGCTCAGAGCAGAATTCTTGCCAAATTGTCAGGATTCTACCTGAATACCATTTTTCTTTATAATACAACCATCAAGTTTCACACTGGCTTTATGTTCTTAAACTACTTGAGGGTCTACCTGAAAGATGAATTAAAATATTTTGTTAATGTAACAAAACATATTCTCTTACAGTACTTAAAACTAGAATCTTAAAAAGTAATTTATAAGTTTTTTTTTCCTTAAGGATGGGAGAAAAAAGCAAAAGTGATAGTTCTGTTTTCAGAACTATAAATA